AATTCGTTGACTCCACGGCTATAAAACCCTGCCATAAATTAGCTACCTATTAGCCTCTATTGTGTAGGTACCAGCCTCTATTGTGTAGGTACCGGGTTCCTCAATACCCACTCAAAGGATTACAGGTACGGATTTTGTGCCCATTATAATTAAAACGAAAAAGACGTTTCATAATATTATTTATTTATTTTATAATCTTAGCCTATCTTAATAATTTCCAAAACTTAAAATCTAATACATATACATAATATAATACTTAAAATTCAACCCAACCTAATCTATATTTAGTTACTAACTAATTATTAGGGGCTTAACATCAATAGCTATTAAATTATAGGTTTGTTCAATTTTAATCACGTGATTGACAGAATTTTTCCAGCTTTGAACCGGAATATTATTTACACATTTTTTAATTAAATCTATTACAGAAGTAGCAAGTGTAGGAGAGATGTTTTCTCTCCTAACCATTGCCTTCAATTCATGCCAGATATGTTCTATATATAATGACCACATGCGCTAGCAAGATCGTCACAAATATATTCTTTTTTAATATTATATCGTCGCTGTCAGTACGAAGGGGCCTATCTCAATATTTGGCGAAAACGAGTTATTCCCATAAAAATACTTAAAAGAACCATATCTATGTTGTGACGAACTGGCATATCTCCATAATACACCGTGTGGCCATTATTCAATTTTAGTGGCATATCTGTTTTGTCAAACAGCCAATCATTCGTTTTTGTTATCACGAACGGGCCTATCTTCTTAATAATTTATTTACAGAAAAAGTCCAGTTCTAAGTATACTTCTGTGTTATACACAGTGTGTAAAAAGTCCCGGAACAGTCAATTATTTTGAAAATGATGCACAATATAAAAAAACTTCCTGTATAAGAGTTGAAGGTCATAATAAAGTCTATTGAAATAAGACTTTTGTAATTATACAGGGTGGCCCAAAAAGTTGTGCTATACAAAACTTCATTTTTTTTAAATGGAATGATCCTTTTCTAATTACATTTTCTAATTCCTCTAGAGATTCTAAACAACAATTATGAAACATGTCATATGGCTAAACCCATTAGTTTCAGAAATAATTTGAGTTGAAGGACATAAATACGATATTACCTAGATTTTGCATTGTTTCGAGTTAGTTCAAAATGGTCACCAGACCTAAAGCCCCTTGATTATTTTCTTTGAGGACATCTGAAAAATAAAGTGTTTGTGACAAAACCTGCAGATCTGAACGAATTGAGAAGAAGAATTATTGAAGAATGTGCATCTATTAACCAAGAAATGTTACAAAACGTCATCAATAAATTTTATTATATTCTAGCCCATTGTCAAACTGTAGAAGCAGGACATTTTCAGCATTTAATTAAATAACGCCTTACACTTAATTTTATTTTTAAAAGTAAAATGAAGACAGGGTCTCCAATATAATATTATGAAACGCCTTGATTGGTTAAAACGGATGATTCACTAACACTTTGATTTTGATTATAGCCTTTCTATAGAAGGGATAAATAAACGTTCTTCACAATTTTCTTGACATCTAGCGATAAATGTTTTTTTTTTTGGATTACCACTTCCGGTTGCACTATCACCATCATTTGCTCATGGACGCCACATTTTTTTTGTCAATATCACAGCACTAGTTTTGCACAAAGACTATAGTAGATTATACCACGAGTCAATAATGATAGCTATTATTCCCGAGGAAAATTTACGAACTGAGCCGCGTTAGCGGCGCACTGAAAAAAAAATCGTTCATAATATTGACGAATGGCAGTTGTTATTTTTTTGTCATTAATTAAATGAAATATTTCATCAATCCAATTAATCAGTGTTCATAGCCTAATTACTTCGTTCCTTAATGTAACGAATTTATGTTCATTATTATTATAAAACCCGTGAATTTTTATTTTCCATTGTTCGAACGAACACTTTCATCAGTATAAAGATTTTTCTTTGCAGACCAGTGATTCTATTCCTTGATTTTATGAATAATCGTTCATAAACCACATTCGTTGTACTAATGATTATTTCTTATCCCAAAAAGTTTGTTCATCCTGCTTATGGACCTTTCTTCATTGTGTAAATGAAGTTATGCATCGAATCAATGACCAAGAGTTCATTAATTAATGGAAAACGGCGGGAGCATTCACCAATCCGAATGGCATACGCAACTATTCGTACTGCCCATCTGAAGTAACGAACGCTGTTTTCTGTCGTGACTTTTCAGATATGGGAATTTGGTGATACCCACTGGCCATGTCAAGAGAAGTGAAGTACCTGGCATTTGACAGCGTTTCTAAATGTTCATCGGGTCTTCTCATGGGATAATAGTCTTCAATACATTTTGAGTTCATAGTTCTGTAATGAACGCACATGCGTATTTCACCTTTTTTTTTTAACAAGAACAATGGGACTGGAATATGGTGAATTAGACTCTTGAATAATACCAGTATCAAGCAAATCATCAACCATTTCTTTTACACGTTGTCGTTCTGAGAATGAAACTCGATAAGATCTGTACGTCACAGACTTATCATCTTTCAATAAAATATCCATTTCAACACCTTTTATGCACCCCAATTCTTTCATATTTTGAGCAAAACAATCACTATATTAATTAAGCGTGTGAAGTAGCATTTCCGTGTTGTACTCGCTAATATCGTGATCTTGGAATATCATTCAAAGTGAACAATTCTAGACTAGATTTATACACTACAAGTGTTTACCTGGCAATCATTGTTACCTAATGCGTCTTCAGGTACACAAGGAGTTGCTCTGGTAACCAACTGTTTCTCGTAGAAACTTATCGTCTCTTCTGACAAATTAAAAAATGGCAGTAGCACTGAATCATTGGAAGTAATAAATCGCGGAATGATATATTTACCATGTAATTTGAAGCACTGACGTAGGTCTACAAACATTTTCCCCTTATAGTCTCCAACGGCAGCTGAGTATGCCAATGTGGTGCGGTGTTACTTTGGTGGCTTTCTTGCAAACCAACTCAACGGTTGTCGTAGGTAGTTCGGCAACCTCAGGTAAGGAAGCCATTTTAGTACTAAACATTCTTAGTTCTCCATCTCGCATCACGAGTACGGCCCTGGTTTGATTTAAATAAGTTTGTCCAATCAAAACGGCCATATGTTGCAAATAATTTGGTACCACTATAATAGGCACTTCAGAAGTGAATAAATCAACATTTATTTTTGCCGTAGCTTTTCCCACTGCCATAGCCTTGCCTCCGCTATATTCAGTTATGACTATATTACATGGTTGCCATAATATTCCAACTTGACGCGCTTCTTTTTCTCGTATTATGACGCGTGTGCCTGTGCGTTTTTTTTTGCAAAAAAATATTCCGTCCAACTTTCACCACTTAATGTATGTCGCTTAATCATGGATTTAATGGACGATGGGGAATCTTGGTGGTCAGGAAAAGTATTAAGATTTGCTTTCCATTGTACCCAATTATAATCGTATGAGTCAAGGTGATGGTAACATGACTGAGCTAAGCCTTTAAATCTGATTTGCATGTGGTAAATCATTGTTGCTTCGTCCCATTTATTTATGAAAGCCAATTGCTCAATTTTAGCTAACCATTCACTGCAACTGCAACTCATATTATTTACCTTACCTGGGTTTAACTCAGGAATGCAATCGGCCCTTATTGTCACGTGTGGCACATTTGTACTCCTATCTAGCAATTTGCGACTACGAGACCTGCCAAAACTCCTTGTCCCTATTGGTAGTGGAACTACTGCTTCTCGTAACGTCTACGGTTCCAGGCTGTTCTACTATGAGATTCATCCCCTGATATTCCACTAGCGCTTCAAATTTCCGGAGTTGTTCCTCGATCTCTATTAGTAATAATCGCATTTCTCTTGTCTGCAACTATTTTAAATTCAACCGCCCACATAACAAAATTGCATCCTTAGAATGTAATAAGAATGTTCTTTTTCTAGGAGGAATGTGCCTAGAACGTTCGCCAAAACCATTGCGAATGTCCTGAGAATGTTCTGAGAAAAGATTGTAGAAATACTGTTTGCAATACCCAAGAACTTCCTGGGAAATCCATTAGGATATTCCTAGAATATACCTATGAGATTCTCAGTATATCCTGAAAAGAATATTCGTGTTTGGTTCTAAAAATATGCTCGAAATGTATAATCTCATATTCAAGGAATGTTTCTATGACATTATAGTTATGTTCTCAAAAGAATATTATACCAATATGCTTGAAATATTCTTAGAATATTATATATCTACAATATATCATTCTCAATATGCATCCTAGACACTTGTTTGATTCTAAGGATATACTTGAAATGTTAATTTTCCCTTCCAAATAATGCTCCTTTCAGCCCTTTTATATCAAAGGCAGTGAAAGAGTTGTTGGAAAACTTCTCTGGAAAACACAAGTGTTTATCCAAAGCTCCGGTTTTGAGCTGGTTATGCTCTCGTCGCGTAAAGCACGCCAACTCAGAGAAACAGTTTCCAAGGTGATTCAAACGCTAGGCAAGATGTAGATCTTTAATAGCGCGTGGCTCCCTCTCTTGGAAGTCCTACAAAGCAAAAGAAAAAGAATATACCTATAATATTCTTAGTAGGTTCTAGATAGAGCATTATTGTTTAATTGTTCAATTAAGATTTTTGAGTAGGTACTTTAGATAATTAAGTGAACAATATGAAAATATTATTATCATGGTAACCTACCTACATAAACTTCTCAGCACAACTTGGTAGGTATATTCTTAATACTTGATAGAGATATTAGCCGAAAGAACATTTTTTAGGGTACATTATAATAATGTTCGTATGGCAATATTCAAATAATGTTACATAAAGTAGGTTCTTAGCACAATCTTCCAGGTAGATGCATAGAAGCAACATTCCTAGTACATAAATAGAACGTTCAAAAATGAATTTTTCAATCGAAACAATCTTAGAATATTCATTAAACATTCCTAAAAGAACATTCCAAAAAGCACTTTGAGGGAATATTCTGAGAATATGAATGTTCTTTCACTGTTATGTGGGCGCAACACTTTTCACACATGGCTCTCTATATATCGACTTTCTGGAAGATCGTTTGTAGCGACCGACATCTGAACTACTTGTTGAAGTTGAACTGTCGCTATCACTACTGGGGCTACGCCTTTTATGCCTGCGTTTACCGATTATGACACACTATCACACTAGTTTATGTCACTTTATTTACAATATTTAAAAAAATATTGTCTAATACGGATGTATCGCGAGTACTATCCCGCCGCTGCACTGTAAGGGATTCGGAATATCCCAAATAAAACGACGCAATCAATAATAAACAATTTAATTAATTCGTAAGTTTGGATTCAAGAAATAATCGTAAGCAAAAGAAAATACATCTAACCGATAAAAGCTAACGCGACGACTGTTGGCAGGTAGATTTCGCACCCTCGAAACTTTGAACTTTGGTACCAAGTCCCTTCTTGGTTGTTCCTTTATCTATCGAGAACAATAGATTTCGCGTCAGGCGATCAATAAGAGACAAATTCCTCAACAAGGGTCTTTAGTACAGCTATACAGGGTCAGTTCTTGCATGGTTTATTTCACAATAATGAAAATTTCAAACAATACCTACTTACATATTTCTGTGGTCTGCACAGCTAGAAAATTATCAACCGGGAAAACGCTGCCATATAGAACAAATACATAGGTACCTACAAAATTTTAGAGAAATAAGTACAAAATTCGACTAAAAAAGTTTGGAAAACTTTAAAAAAAAAACCGAATAAGTCATATTTTGGCACAATCTCTCCCTTAAAAGAACTGACATGATCCGCAACTGTACTGAAATTTAGAAAAATAAATAAAATTTTCACTATTTTATTATACATATATTTATTACAAAATAATATAACTATAGAATACTTGTACAAAAATCTAAAAACTATATTTCTATCTGAACCTATTAGATCATTACACAAATATGCCATGCACTCACACACAAAATAAATAATAAATTTAATACTTCGAGATCTATCAAATGTCTTTCGCCTATCATTACCGTCTAATTTTCTCATCAAAAAAAGTTGCGATGTCCTCAAAAGTTTTCCCTAAAGTTTCAGGTAAAAATTTATACAGAAAAGCAAACCCTACTAAATTTATTACACTTAAGCCGTAAAATATAGATACTAAACTGACGCTTTCCATTAAAAACGGAGCCACTTTAACTAGCAAAAACATTAAAATATAAACTATGGATATTAACAAGCCGCCTAATACTCCTCTAACTTTCACTGGCAGTAATTCTCCAATAAGTGTCCACGGAATCACAAGCCAACCAAATGAACTGAAACAAATATAGGCCAGTACTAAAACAATGGCTACAGTACCATCCACGTTCATCAAGCCTGTTTCGTGAGTATTTTCGGTTAATTGCATGAGAAGTGCCAAAGCAAAACTGGTTATAATCATACCAACTGAAGAAATAAACATCAAAAGTCTTCTGCCAACTCTTTTGGATATCATAGCCAAAATTATAGCCATCAAAAATCTTACACCACCTAATAAAATTAAAGCAACATATTCGTCTATAAAGCCAATATGCTTAAAGCCAGCTCCGATCCTTTTAAAAATATCTACGGCGTAAAATACGATCACGTAAGCGGAAGAAAATTGCTGGAATATGAATATTATTAGTAAAATTGCTAAAGGCTTCCATACTATGGGACTTTTGCAAAATAATAAGTTTTCTTTCATATGTTGTAGTTTGGATTTTATTTGTGAGTCTTCTTCTTTATAGGTCGAGTAGACGATTCTGTCATATTGTTGAATAAATATCTATAAACAAAATCAATTTCAATTGATTGAAATTTTAAAAACAGTATATTTACATACGTTTGTTTCAGGATAAAGCCATTGTAAAGAGTCCGCCAGTTTTTTCTTATCATTCTTAAATACCATCAACCAATAAGGACTTTCCGGTAAAAAATAAACTCCTATACCAGTCACGACGACCAGAGCCAGGAATATTTTTACCATCGATGTCCAGTGCAGTCCATAACCCAAAACGCAGGTTATCAAAATTCCTAAAGTAACTCCGACACTGTTGAATGTTAGAAGCATAGGTCTGTATTTTGGGTGGGATATTTCGCTGACGTAGACTAGACCAACTGTACTTAAACCTACAAAAAAAAAATGTTTCGTAATAATTCTTAAGCACTCTAGTAGGTAATCACGAACTTAACATGGGTAGCAAGTGCTGTGAGTAAAAAAAGAAAACAACAGTATTTGTGAGTAATCTTCAGACCTATTTGCTTCACTAGTGATCAACGGCTTCAGATTTCAACAGGTTGTGGGTCCCAGAAGACGCTAGTTTCTAGTAAGTTGTAGTGAATAAATAAAGAAGACCGCACAAGGGTACATACATAATGGCAAATCACCAGTTAGGTGTGCCTGAACTAAAAGGCAGAGAAAATTATGATGAATCTGCTTTTGAAGCGAAGAATTACTTGATCCAGGAAGGATTGCAGCATTGCATTAGGGCAAGTATAAGCGCAGGCTCAAATGCTTCATCAAGTAAGTAATACACGAATAATAACAGAAGAACAAGCTGCTGCTGCGGCAAGGCTTGAAGATGAAAAGGCCAAAGCCAAGTTAATCCTGGTGATATATGTCCATATTAAGTCGGCAGTCACAGCCAGAGACTTATGGGAAAAGCTAAAGACTATGTTTGGTGATAGGTAGTAGGTTTTTTAGGAGAATTAGCTTGTTAAGATTTTTAATTTCTATTAGGCTAGAAGCATATAAGTCAATGGCCAGTTACATTAACCACCCACATAACAAAATTACATCCAGTGTTGCCACAGGTGGCCCCATATGGCCAAATCTGGCCCTTTCTAAGACGGAGTGGCCAGTTGGCCACTCTTTTCCGAATCTGCCCCGTTTCTCCATAACAAGCCAAATCATTATTTTTGTACGTAAAATAAGTGTTTTTTGGCGTGGCACCCGAAAAAAATGTCTGCCTCCGGCAGCGCCTGCGGCCTTTTTCTCTTCTTTTTCATTTGTGGAGGGTTTGCCCGAAAATCTGAAATCTGGCCCCTTTTAAATTCATAGTCTGGCACGAAATTTTTTGAGCCTGTGACAACACTGATTGCATCCTTGGAATGTAATAAGAATGTTCTTTTTTTAGGAGGAATGTGCCTAGAATGTTCGCCAAAACCATTGCGAATGTCCTGAGAATGTTCTGAGAAAAGATTGTAGAAATACTGTTTGCAATACCCAAGAACTTCCTGAGAAATCCATTAGGATATTCCTAGAATATACCTATGAGATTCTCAGTATATCCTGGAAAGAATATTCCTGTTTGATTCTGAAAATATGTTCAAAATGTATATTCTCACATTCAAAGAATGTTTCTATGACATTATAATTATGTTCTCAACAGAATAATACACCAATATGCTTGGAATATTCTTAGAATATATCTACATATATCATTCTCAATATGCATCCTAGACATAACATTCTTGTTTGATTCTAAGGATATATTTGGAATGTTAATTTTCGCTTCCAAATAATGTTCCTTTCAGCCATTTTATATTAAAGGCAGTGAAAGAGTTGTTGGAAAACTTCTCTGGAAAACACAAGTGTTTAACCAAAGGTCCGGTTTCGAACTTGTTATGCTCTCATCGCGGTAAACACGCCAACTGAGAGAAACAGGTTCCAAGGTGGTTCAAACACTAGACAAAATGTAGATCTTTAGTAGCGCGTGGCTCCCTCCCTTAGAAGTCCTATAAATCAAAAGAAAAAGAATATACCTATGATGTTCTTAGTAGGTTCTAGATAGAGCATTATTGTTTAATTGTTCAATTAAGATTTTTGAGTAGGTACTTTAGATAATTAGGTGAACAATATGAAAATATTCTTGTCATGGTTACCTACCTACATAAACTTCTCAGCACAACTTGGTAGATATATTCTTAATACTTGATAGAGATATTAGCCGAAAGAACATTTTTTAGGGTACATTATAATAATGTTCGTATGACAATATTTAGATAATGTTTTATAAAGTAGGTTCTTAGCACAATCTTACAGGTAGGTGCATAGAAGCAACATTCCTAGTACATAAATAGAACGTTCAAAAATTAATATTTCAATCGAAACAATCTTAGAATATTCATTGAACATTCCTAAAAGAATATTCCAAAAAGCACTTTGAGGGAATATTCTGAGAATATGAATGTTCTTTCACTGTTATGTGGGCAGATAGTAGGAACCAGTCAACCTTTGCGTGGCACAGGCTTCAATATTGATGACGAGTGGGTAGGCTCACTGATGCTTGCCGGATTGCCTAAAAGATTTATGCCAATGATTATGGCAATCAAACCTTCGGGCATAGCAATCACAACTGCAACTTGCCAAGCTGGGAAACAGATTCAAAAAGCAGAGACCGAGTACCCATGACATAAACGAAGCAAACAAAACGATCACTAGAACCCTAAACCAAGCAGCAGAAGCGTACACAGAAACAAAAACTAAAAAGCAAAATAAACTAAGCGCGCAAACACTAAACATGCTACATAAAAGACGACAACTTATAACAAATAACAAAAGATCATCAGCAGAATACGCCGAAATAAATAAAATCGCCAGAAAGATGGCAAAGGATGAGAAAACGCAATGAGAAATTTGTGTTGTTCACAAAGGGATGAAAGTGTTCAGAACACTAACGACGAACACAAAGAAGTAAATTGTCAGAATCAAAGACAAAACAAGACAAAGAATCGAGGGAAGACACGAAATTATAACAACGGTACAAGAATTCTATACAGACCTATACGAGACGAAAGTAACTAGCGACATATCCGAACAAGATCAGGAAGTGAAAGTCATGAACGTCAACTCTGAAGACATACCTGAGATTATAAAAGACGAAAACAGACTAGCATTACACCATATGAAAAACGGGAAAGCAGCAGGCGATGGAATATTAACGGAGATGTTATAGCAAGGCGGAAATATGCTAGAGGACCAACTAGAAATGCTGTTCAACAAATGCCTGGAAAAGGAGGACATACCACAGGACTGGACAAACGCCCTCGTGACAATCATTCACAAAAGGGAGACACCGAGAATCTAGAAAATTACAGACCGATCAGCCTGCTACCCCAAATATATAAATTATTCTCGAAAATAATAACCAACCGTCTGACACCAAAGTTAGACTACTACCAGCCAAAAGAGCAGGCTGGGTTTAGGAAGGGTTACAGTACTACAGAACACCTGCAAACGATGAGAACAATAATCAAGAAGACGGTGAAATACAAAATACCTTTATGGCTAGCATTCATTGATTTTAGAAAGGCTTTCGACAAGGTGGAAATATGGGCACTACAGCAAGCCCTGAAACACGCCAGAATAGACCACAGATACGCAAACCTTATCCACAACATTTACCGTAACGCGACCCTACAAATCCAGCTACACGAAAAGTCCGACAAAGTTGCAATTAAAAGGGGAGTGCGCCAAGAAGACCCTATGTCACCCAAGCTCTTCACACTAGTTCTGGAAGACGCACTAAAAACAATCGACCTCCAAAACAGAGGCATTAATATCAATGGGGAAAAACTCAACCACCTCATATTTGCCGACGACATAGTAGTGATAGCCGGAAGTAGAGAAAAACTGCCCACACTTATCGACGACATCTACAGGGCCACGAAGCGCATAGGCCTAGAAATCAACTTTGACAAAACGAAGTACATGACATCAAACGTTTAGGACGAACGAGAAATTACCCTAGGAGACAACAGAATCGAAAAGGTAACTACATACAAATAACTAGAACAAACACTAACAACTGGCAAGGCTAACCAAGAACTCGAAATAATCATATATTATATCACAAGAGCTTTAAATTTAATCGATTAAACTATCCAACATATTTTGAGCATGATTTTGCTTGGAAAATAGTTGAATGCACAATTTATTTAAAAGTTGTTGTGCATGAAACTATTTGCCAAAAAGCGAAATTATAAAAAAAATATTTGGATAGTCCAATCCATTTAAATTTATGGGTCGAGTGGTATATGGCTAGATTATTTCCTGAATAATTAGGATTGAATTGTTGGCGTCAATCCTATCCAAAGAGTTCTATTTATTATAAAATTTCATGGAATATTTCTATCAAAATTCTGTCAAAAAAGGTAAATAAAAATTTAATTGCTGATAAACAAGGTCATGTGAAATAATCACTTATTTAAACAAAATTCATTCAAAAAATGACGTTGTCTGATGGGTCTATTTTATAATGAATGAAATAATCGAGAGAATACGGCAAACCTGGGCGGCATATGCCAAAATAAAAGACATCTTGAATATGGACATACCCCTAGACCCCCTAGACCTCAAAACCGAATTATACAATCAGTGTATCCTACCAGTAACGACTTACGGGTCACAAACTTGGACCTTTACGAAAGCTATACTTGACAAACTTAAAGTAAACCAGAGAGCTATGGAGAGTAGAATACTTGGGATATCACTAAAGGTACGGTTTGTTAGGATAGTACGCGACGCACAACTGACAACGTAAACGTTGTCATTGGTTCAGGTATGACGTACACCCGTTTTCTGACGCTGACGGTGACGTCAGAAAACGGGTGTACGTCATACCTGAACCAATGACGACGTTTACGTTGTCAGTTGTGCGTCGCCTACTATCCTAACAAACCGTCACTTCAGGGATAGGAAAACAAATGAATGGATCAGGAGAAAAACAAAGGTGCACAATGTCGTACAACACGCCGCCGCTCAGAAATGGGACTGGGCAGGACACGTCGCAAGAGACCAGGATAAGTGGAGTGGTAAACTAATTCGATGGAGACCATGGAGCAACAGAAGGAGCACAGGAAGACCGCAAATGAGATGGAGCGACGATTTGAAACGAGCGGCAGGACTGAACTGGTACCAGGTGGCACAAAACCGCGACAACTGGCAAAATAAGAGGGAGGCTTATACCCAAAGGGTAGAAAACAGCTAAATGAAAAAAAATTCACAACCGATGTTATCAAAATAAAACTTCTAGATATGGAACGCAGTGAAGTCAGTAACGCAAACAGTGCATTTTATAGAAAAAGTGGCAAACCGTTTCATAAGAAAAAGAAGGAGATTTCAACTA